ATGGGTCGGCTCACGCTCGCAACAAACTCCTCCTATCTATTTTTACTACACGGGGCCTCGTACTTCACGTTAATTTAATTAAGCGTTAATGAGGGTACGACGGTACGTAGGTGGAAGCATAGAGAAAGTTGGTAGAGTCGCGGGTTGTCGCTCTTTCTACGATCACGTTAAATCATTTTTGTAAAATTTCTCCGTTTAATTCGTTATTTATTCTTTTCGTTAAGCGCGAGCAACGTAAGCTTGGATTCATTGAACGATCAATCGTGTGACGTGTCTTTATCGACTCGCACGATAAGGATAAAGCGTTTATCGGCACTATCTTAAGCATTTTTGGCCGATTTCATTCGTTCGCAGGGTCTCGTGAAACGCAAGCGAGAAGAAGAGTTTCGGGGAAGCATAGCTTAATTACTACGATGTGTCTCGTACGAGTCTGCTGGTGCACCTGTACGATGACGACGAGACTACTATGGCGACGACGGCGACGACGACGACGACGACGACGACGACGACGACGAGGAGGAAGAGGAGGAGGAAGGCACGTTACGCGCCATTGCCACTCGTCCCTTTCCCATTGTACGGATACAATTTACGAGAATGCATTTACGTCGATCTTCCCGACACAACAATGCCTCTAATTCCACGATTCCCGTTGACTTATTGGACGGTTACAAAAGGCAAGCCTTCGCAGGAAATTACCTTGACGGTTTAGCGCGAGTAAAATCGATGAAAAGGATGAAAGAGAAGAGAAAAGGATGTACTTTTTTTTCTTCTCTTTTGAAATTGATTTGGACTTTTGCACTCGCGAACGACGAAACCTTCGCACGTGCGCTCGGGGCTTTGGCTAATAACACACTTCGTGTATGATTAATCCGAGATACGGAGAGTTCGATATCGAGACTAGACGGAACTCCCTCGACGAAAAAAAGAAAAATGACAAAGTCCAGGAAAGGAAGATATATCGGAAGAAAGCTATACGAGTCGAAAAGATTGGGAGAAATTCCCTTTGAAACTAGGAGGCTAACGGCACGGAGGAGAACGAACAAACGCGTTTCAGAGTACGCGTACGTAGACGCGAAAACTAAAAGTGCGGGAGCACGTAAGTGCGCTCGCACTCGCTCGCGCACGCCATTTTAAAGGTCTTCTTGTAATTAACCGTCTAGACTCCCGACACTATTATCTGGCCCTCGTTAGCGTTATCTCCGTCAAACGGGAAGCGTCTGTTGGAAAGTTACGTAAGTGTGTACGTGTGCGTATGTATCTATGATCCGCGTATGAGCGTTGCATGCGGGTACTCGTGAAAATGGCCACAGGTTGCGTCACGTTCTCGAAGCTTTTACGTCGCAATCGACGATCGGACGACGAGGGAGGCGAGAAAATCCTTTCTCTTCCTGGCATTACGAGTTATAGAATTTCGTCGTTAAGAAAAGTTAGTTATCGTCCTTCTTCATAAACGAGAGAAAAAAAGTACGATAGCACCGACATAGTTGAAACAATATAGTCGTGGTTATCATCGGACTCGTCCTCGCCACTTCCCCCACCCCTAGTCACCATTATTTTCAGATCACGAGAGAGCGGGGCCAGCGTTCAGATGCCAGCGTTATCGCTATCGAATTTTTTTTCTTTGTCAACGTCTACGTAAATTTGTTATGCCGCTTATCGTGCAGTTTGGGGATTAGCGCGTTTTTATAGAGGAAAAAAGAAAGTTTGTACATTTGTAAAAAAATTTTAATCGTATCGTCGCGTCGCGCGTAACCTCTCGTAGTAGACGCGCAAAGACAGCGTCGTCGTAGTTATCGTCTACCGTCCGATGGAACCTATCCGTCTCGTGGCCTTGGGCGATAACGATAATTGGCAGCCCGATTACACGTGCTACGCCGGATCGAATCTATGTAGCTCGCCTATGTTAGAAGACTTCTATACGTGCTATATCTAGCGAACATGTGTGTGTGCGCGTGCGTCTCTATGTAATATCTATATACATACATGTATATATGTATATATATGTATATATGTATATGTATATGTATATCTATATATATATATGTATATCTATATGTATATGTATATGTATATGTATATGTATCGACGGTTATATCAACGGACCTAGGACAACTATCGATCCGATTGATCTCGATCCATCAGCGCAAATCTTGATTTTATACGACTGTCGAGACGAGCAAGTCGATGAGATAATCCAAGAAAAAACATTTATATCCTTATCAACTTCTCTCTCTCTCTCTCTCTCTCTCTCTCTCTCTCTCTCTCTCTCTCTCTTTCTCTCTCTCTCTCTATCTATCTATCTATCTATCTATCTATCTATGTCGATGCAACTACAGTTGTATTGGAAGAAGAAGAGCAGTATTTTTCTCGCGCAGCATCCACTTTGGTCCAGATTCAACGAATCTAATTAATCGTTCAGAAAGGAAATTATTCGATTAATTGGAAGATCTCAAAGGGAATCACATATCACGTGTTTAGAGAAACGTTCATGGAGAATCAGCATCAGCACCCTCGAGAAGTCGATCTTTCTCTCTCTCTCTCTCTCTCTCTCTCTCTCTCTCTCTCTCGCATCGTCTCTTTTGTCGATCGATCGACCAGCTTCACCCTCTCTCGCTCTCGCTCTCAGGACGTACCCCGTGGACATTATACGCGTCTCTAGTCTTCTCTGGAGCCGTAGTGTCCGATCAATACCAGTGCGAGGCACAGCAGCAGGCGTCTCACCACCCCTCAAACACCTCGTCCTTCTCTTCCCGTTGCTACTCTCCTGCTAACGCTCCAACTACACCCGCTTGAGCTTTCCCTTTCGACGGCCTCCGTGGAAACACGGAGAACCCCTTTAAAGCTTTAACTCGAGCCACTCGGCGAAAGCTCTTTTTCGAATCGAGTTTCGCGCGCTTCGCCGTATCTAACGGCCGAAAAAGAAAATGAAAAAAGGGCCAAGGGACGAGCAACGCGAGACGTTTCTTTGGGTTAAACCTAAGAAGCTCTTCCAATGGTGTACGCTCCTATGTACGATAGAGAGAAGAAACGAGGGCGGTCGATCGTTGTGATAGGAACGTACGAATCTAGGGCGCCACACTGCTCTCTCTCTCTCTCTTTCTCTGTCTCTCTCTCTTTCTCTCTCGCTACATCAAATTTTACGTTTCTCTACTTTCTTCGTTTTTTTTTCAAACTTCCCACGCACGCACACGTACCCTTCGATACATTTATTTGACGTTGAGATGGAGAGACAAATTTCAAATCGTACGATAAGACGTCATTGAGAGCAAACGACTCGGGACTATCGATAACCTCGGAATTCGCAACGCATTCTCTCACACACACACACACACACACACACGCGCGCGCAAACAGCAGACAGAAACATTCTACGTTTGTCGTTTCTCGATAGCACCGCCCTCGAGAAAAGCGACGATTTTTTTACTTTTTTCATTACTACATTATCGCCACTCCGACGTCTTTAATCTGCTCATTTTTTTCCATTTACCGTTATTTTCTTTCTTTCGTCAAATCGATTTCCTGTCTCTCGATCATTCCTTACGGCTTGAAGATTTCCTTATTACCAACGGCATGTCGATGAAATTATAATTGCGATCGTAGAAATTGCGATTATCGAAGAAACAGTGGCGTGGCCAAAGAATTTATATGTCGAGCTGGTCACGGACAATTGTCTTCGTTACGGTACGAATTGCATATATAATAGCTGTGAATGCGTTCGTCGCCGACGTTATGTGTATGCGTGTTCTTTGGGTGTGATTTGCCACTGCCAAAATACGACCTCGAGACGAGATCGACGATCGTTTCAGACATACTGGCGGGGCCAGTCGATGGCTCGTCTCCACCCAATTTTTCTTGTTTCTTTTTTATTCTATCGGAGCAACGAATAAAAGCCAAGCGAACGGAATAAAGCGCTTGGACACCGTAACAAGTTCTCATGGAAATTGGCATGATTTTTAAATTTGGCATGCGTTCGAACCGCGATTACTCGAAATGGTCGAACGCGCGCTCGTTCCGCTTGGTCGAGCACATTTGCGTCAATCGCGACCGCGTCATACCTTCTCCTCCACGCGAACGCTTCAATTATACGAGCGATTATCCTAAAACCGAGATCGATCATTGAGATTAATAATGCGCGAGAGATAGGAATTAAGGAATCGAGATTTGTGCCATAAGCAACGTTAGAAACGATCCTACGGTCGCAGATATTTTTTTTTTTTTTTTTTTTTTTTTTTTTTTTTTTTTTTTTTTTACAATGAAAATGGGAGAACATACGTTGCAGTCGAAATTACGAGCGAAATAAGAAAACAAAAAAAAAAGAACAAAAAAAAATGTAGAAGAATCGACGAGAAAGCGGGATGGAAATTTGGATATCGTATGTTACGAGAGTTTCACAGGGAGGAGGAAGCGACGAAAGCCAAAGGCCAGGTTCTACACGAGAGCTTTATATCTTGGCGCAGCTTTAACATATTCATAGAAACTTCCGGCTTACGTCAAAGAGATTCTGACGCGCGAGTGCATTCGCGTTATTATTATACGAACGCCGTACTAGCGATAGGGATTAATTAACGTTGGATAAGCAGACTTCTAAAGGAAAATCGAAATTGGGCAACTCTTCGGTCTAGCTTTGTCGAACAATGAACGTCTCGACTCTCTCAGAATTTATTGGCGCATTTAAAATGAAAAAGAAAAAAAAATGACACTTTCTCGACACGCTTCGAGCAAAGACAATTTTCTCTCTCTCTCTCTCTCTCTCTCTCTCTCTCTCTCTCTCTCTCTCTCTCTCTCTCTCTCTCTCTCTCTCTCTCGAAGAGTGACCTTAAATTGGCTCCGCTCGCCGGCTAGACCGAACTCAGACGCTTTTACGAGTAAGAGAAAACGGGACGGAAAATCTCTTACACTTTAAACGATCCAATCGTCGTACCTTGTTTCTTGGCTAGCGCGACCCTAATATGACTACGACGAAACTAACGGAACCATGTACTTTTATGTCTTTTAAACAGATGCTATCGATGGGTTCGGCATTGGACGTTCGTAGAGGAGGAAGAGAAGGAGGTGAAGTAGGAGGAGGTGGAGGTGGACGTAGAGACGGAGGGGGTGGCGAGGCAACGAACGGAAACGCGTTGGCCCGAGGCGTTCGAATAGCTGCAGCCGCCGTTCGTGGACAGGGTGATGTCCTTCAACAAGAAGCGATGGTCGCCGCAGCGAGAGACAGGGCGATCAGGACAGGTAGCGTGAGGCAAGATCTCGCCCTCAATTTACCTCCGCGGCTGGAGCTCCCGGATGGGGAGGAACGCCCTTACGGAGCGCAAACCAATTTGCATCTTCGTGACCCCTTGCAGGTGAGTTCTTTTTCCTTCTCCTCCTCCTCCTTTGCCGCCGTCGCCGCCGCCGCCGCCGCCGCCGCCGCCGCCGCTATCGCCGCGCCCCCTAGTCTATCTCGTAGTCAAAACACGCGATAACGCGCGATTTGTGACGCGAACAAAGACGCAACATCTTCCATTTATTTTCATATTTACTTCGAGGAAAGAGACGCGACTCCATGTATCCCGGCGTTGACCCGGCGAGATCCAACTAAATCGATATTATCCAGTCGGACGATCGAAAGTCGATTATCGAAAACGGTAAAAGCTACGATCGAGAACGCGGAAATTTTACGCGATCCGCGCTAGAGAATACGGTTATTTAACTTTAAAACGTCTCGCTACTCGTTACGGAACGAACGCGCGCACCGCCTCTATATATACATATATACGTAGACGTAGGGTATGCTCCTTCCTGGCTGCTGTACGTTTATGTGCGATTGGTGCAGAAGTTGAAAACGCTTTAAAACTGCGGTGCGCGCAGTGGAATACCCCCCTCTTTTGAATAAACCGCTTCCCGAGTGGTGGTACGCGCGCCATTCTCCTAACGTTCTATTACGAATAATATATAATCATTTCGTTAAGCGTTAGTGCCAAACGGGGGAGAGTATTGATTTTGATAAAAATACTTTAAGATCGTTTAATCATTCATTTACTTTATATCGTATTTCGCTTGGTAAATACTCACACGCGCATTGTTTAACTTGTATCTATCATTAATTCTATTCAAAGAGCGAACGTTTTAAGAAAACAAAATGTCAACTTTTTAGGAAAGCGAGATCTACCAAAAGTGCATACGGCCACCACCAAACCGGACTATCTTCGATAGCGAGAGTCCACCCCCGTATCGTAGCCAGTCGGCACTGTTGGAGCCACCGGAACAAATAGTACGCTGTCACAGCGCGGGTAGCTCCCTGCTGAAAATGTTTCGCAAGTTTCCAAGTTCTGCTAGTAGTAGTAGTACGTCGTCGTCGTCGGCGGCGGCGGCGGCGGCGGCGGTGGGGGCACCGACGCCACCGAAAAAGTCCACCCTGTCCAGCTATTCCGAGTCCAGTAGCAACCTGTCCACTCTGACTGTGGTGCCCTGTGAAACGGACGAGAGTCAACAGGAGCAGCATCACCATCGGCAGAAACGCGTCTGATCCGAGGCCAGTGGTGGTGGTGGTGGATCCTCATGCCCGAGGAAGAGGCGAGCGTTCCTTCCTTTCAACAAGAAGACGAAGAAAAAGAAGAAGAAGAAGACTCTCCTTTCAGCAGCGTCGTCATCGACCATCAACACTGACGACACGATGATCCTCCTACTCTTTCTTCGCGGTGCGCCACTTGAAGACTGAACTACGACCAATAGCAACGGCAACGCAAGACTTCTCTCTCCATTGCTTTTGGTTCGAGGACCAAGCGAGAACGGCGCCGAAAGAGAGAGTAGAGTACAGAAAAAGAAAGAGAGACAGAGAGAACAAGAGAGGAGTACCCCTGGCCTTCTTCTTTTTCTTCTCTCTCTCTCTCTCTCTCTCTCTCTCTCTCTCGCTCGCTCTTTCTTTGTTTCTTTCTCTTTTTATTATATAAACATTATCCTGCAGATCTCATACTTATTCCAAAGCGTGGTACATAGGAGAGGGAAAGATTAAATCTTGCTGAGAGAGAGAGAGAGAGAGAGAGAGACAGGCAAAGAAATCGTATAAGCTGAGATGTTGCTATTTTATTTCCATGTAATCTCCTTCCAAGAAAGAGAGAGAGAGAGAGAGAGAGAGAGAGAGAGAGAGAGAGAGATGAGGATAGGGAGAGAGACATAGTACTGGACCGTAATAAGGGAGAAGAAAATCGCTCGCCTCCCCTTCGACGTCGATGCGATCGACTAATGGACGATTCGCAACAGTGTCGCAAAAGTTTTCTTCGAGAAAAGACTTAGTAAATTATTTATTGGCGATATTCGCGTCTTGCCTTCTCGTACCGAGAGATTCTGGCAGACGAGAGTGAATGAGTGAGAATGAGAGAGAGAGAGAGAGAGAGAGAGAGAGAGGAATAAATGCGAGCATGTTAGGGAAAGGAAGACCAATTGAGAGCTAAAAGGGCTAAAAAACGAAAAAATATAAAACAGAGAGAAAGAGATGAAAAAGTAGTGCCAAGAGCGAAAATAAGAAGGAAAGAAACATTGTAAATATTAGATTAGGTAGTTCAATATTACAATATAATTATTACGACTAAAAATTATATGCTACAATACCGATTAAAAGTAAACATCCAATATACGTTACGAACACGCATACCATTTAAAGATATGAGCTGGCACGCTCTCAGTGCCGGGCCGTACGAAAGTGACGTTCTTTTTCTTCGCGGGACACGCGTGTTTTTCTCTTTTCAAAGATGGCCACGTTTTTTTAGCGATCGTTAATTCGTCCCTTGTCTTTCCCCTATCTAAGCACGTAAGTTTTCATTCTCGTAGTTTTTCTCGTTGCAAAGGATATACTTTTGTATTTTCCTTTCTTCGAAAGCAAAGAGAAAGCCAGAGACGTTCACGTTTTAGTGATCGATCGATGGCGCACTCTTCTTTTCCAAACGCTTTGAAAAGCTACGAATCGATTTAGGAAAAAAGACGCGTGCGTGGCCATCATCGGTTCGCCCAGAGTCGCCTTCGAATTTGATCGGCGACGGCGGCGGCGGCGTCTCCACGTTTCGTACGGCTCTGCGTACATACGTCTGATATAAACACACGCTACTTTTATTATTATTCGAATAGATAAGGCCTCAGTTTTCGACGAAATAGGACGAGATCCGTACCCGGTCGTTGCCTTTTCGAGTCTCGGCGTCGACGAGAGGAGTTGCGCGAGATCAAGTAATTAATTAATTAACTAATCGATTAATAGCTAGAAGAAATTGTTTACACGGCGACCTTCGTCGATCTATTTTCGTACAATAGGCCGACGCGAATGAATTAAGGTTCGAGATTAATTCCTAGGCGCGTAGTTTAAATCCGGTAAACGAGTAAAAAGATACAGAACAATATGTCGTAGGTCTCCGTTGTATTCTCCAAAGTTCCTACCCGCGATCTTTTCTTCGACGATTTGTTTCTGATACGTGAAAGAGGAAGACGACTGAAGAAGAAGACGAAGAGGATGAAGAAGAAGAAGAAGAAGAAGAAGAAGAAGAAGAAAGAAAAAAGAAGAAAAATTAAGTAAAATGATAGATAGAGAATTTGGTAGATCGACTCTCGCGTCTCGTCGAGCCCGAACTCCGATATGCTTCCCGGGACGGAACGAATCACCCGAGTATCTCATGAGAAGTCACCAATTATTGTAATTTTAAACGAAAAGAAATCCGACGAAGGGGAAAGAAAGTTTAAACAGATGCGAACTATTTTCCGACGCGTTTCCCTCCAACGATTCGCGGATTGCGTGCGTCGCGTGTCACGAGTTAGCCGTGAGATCGATTCGACAAACAAACAAACAAACAAGCAAACAAACAAACAAACGAACGAACGAACAAATAAAAAGTCGGCTAAAACTGGAGCGCGCTGAGTATGATAGGAAAAAGTGTTTTTAAAAAGAATCTTTTATTCGCGAACAGGCTGACACAAACTCCCTCCCCCCGACAAAGATCATAACTTCTCAAATGTTTGACGTCTCTTCAAACGAAACTTGATCTTGTCGTCCGTAGAAAAATGTTAACAAGCCAAACGATCAGGCTCGAGTATTTTTCTATCATGATCATTGCGAGCCAAAGTATCGTCGTCCAAAATTCGGGAATACTTCAAACTTACTTATTATGACTTATTATTACTCGTAGAGGATGTTCTATCCCGTTCTCATTTTTTACAATAGGAAATTGTATTTAACTGCGTACTGCAACTATTGTATCGTCGTTTGAAATTATGTAATACGTCATAAAAAATATCTTCGTAGGCTTACTCGTCGTTTCATCCTACGAGAAACTCTCGACTCGATGAAATCACGAATGCTCTTATCATATAAAATATTTTTCCTACGAGTAAATCGATCAATTTTGGAAGATGATATTTTCGTTCGCAGTGATCGCAATTGGAAAAATTCCATATAAAGTTATGTAAACTTTGACTGTTGATATTTTGGAATATACGACCATTCAAGGCTCGTATCTATATCGGCGAAACTCGAATGAAACTCGTATTCTACCCTAGTATAATTTTCTTCTATATAAAGAGATATTCGCGCGGTTCCGGTTCTAGGTGATTCTCGCGACTTCTACCACGAATCACGTGACCGTGAATCGACCAATCGCGATTCGATAATCGAATTCGTTTGGCTCGTAAAAAATAACGTATAACGATGACAGAGAAGCGGAAGAGAGAGGACGTGATGAAAGAAAAGGGTTGTTTCAGAGAGAGAGAGAGAGAGAGAGAGAGAGAGGGAGATAGAGAGCAAAGTGTTTATCCAAAAGACCGCTATCATGCCTTTTGAGAAAATGTGTATGTCCGGGCAGTTTTACAAACGAAATTTGACCCCGTGTTTCTCTCGACGCACGTTGCGAAACAACGTTCGCAATAACGTTCGCATTGGCAAAGTTTTCGTATGGAGTTGAAGAGGGGTAAATAAAAAAGTAAAGAAATGGTTTCTCCATCGCTCAAAATGTGTTCAACGCGCATGCAATATTTAAATGACGAGGATCAATCGTAACCGTATTATTTAACGATTGGGTCATCGACGTGGCCTTGCGATCGAGTGAGATGATACGCGTTCAGCGAAGAGATAAGACAGGGAGAAAGATAGCGAAAGAAAAGAAAATGCAATGGGTTCTGTGCAAGTCTCAATTAAATTGTAAATGTTATTAACTTAGATTGAATTTAAAGAAAAAAATAGAGGAAAAAAAATGAAGTAAGGAGTGAAATGACAATGGAAGTTACCTTAGATCGCTTACTAGACCGAGTTTATACGCGGGCGGTTAATGGAAAGTAAATCCTAAAAAAATTCGTCTAGGAAAAATCTCTTAATTATCTATCATTAATCATTAGAAGATTCTATAGAGTGCGATAATTTAACGATTTGTTAACGAGATTCGCCGTACGAGCGAAAGATTATGAAATCGTGGCCTTTCGACGCAAACGCGAGAGAGAGAGAGAGAGAGAGAGAGAGAGAGAGAGAGAGAGAGCGAGCGAGAGAAAAGAAAAGAAAGAAAAAGAGGAAGAGGACGAACGACGAGGAGGTATTTCAAACTCGCCCGCCGATCGAAGAGACACGATCTTCCATTGGAGAGAGTCCAATTAGCTGTTTCATTCGGACGAACGGCTCGGTTCGAGCGTTGGATCTCGGTTCGATACTTATCGAAATGCACGACTTTGAAGACGACGCTTTATTATTTTTTTCTCTCGCATTTTGTCGATCTCGGAAAGATCTTGTCGAGAGCCAAAGCAAATGGGAGAATTCGTCGACAAGATCATTGTTTCGACCATTATTCTTTGACCCTTCGATTTGTTATTTTTTTGTATTTGTTTTTTATATATTGTTAATATGTGTAACAAGACGTCTCACGTTTTAGGACGTTCCTTGGTATATTGGAAAATACATATCATCTGATTATTAGTTTTTCCTTCCTTTTTTTTTTCTTTTTGTTTTTCTTTTTTCTTCTGTTTCTCCGTTTCGTTCATCATAGCCATAAAAAAGCGCGTAGGAACGATCGACGAGCATCGAAATAATAATAAATTAAGCTCGGACAGATGCGATTTGACAAAATAAATCATCGCGATATCATGTATGCGTCCTCCTACTGTGTACGTGGGATTGGCGTAAAGCGTAAATACGCGTTGAAATTTCGTGATTTTTACGAAAATAGTAGATTCGGTCGTTCCTTATCGTCGTACTCGAGTCAACGAGAATTCTCCAATGAATCTAGTCACGCCGAGCCGTACGTCCGCTCGTCAAAGTAAATCGGTCGATAAACTCTAGCTATTGTCATTAAAAATATTGAAATAGATCGTCGACCGAACCGTCGAGGGAGAGAGAGAGAGAGAGAGAGACAGACAGACAGAAAAGGAACGTGTTTAAAAAGAAAGAAAAAAAAATAACGTTGTTTCAATCATTCTTTTCTTTTTCTTTTCTTTCCTCGGCGGCGATAGCGGCGGTCATCTTAGGCAGAAAATAATTATAATAATAACGATGAGATAATAATTATAATTAAATAAGAATAATAATGTGATTTCACGAGGTGTGTTCTAAACAAAATTTATTCGTAGCGTCGAGTTTTAACGAGCCAACTCCGAGTCATTTGAGACGCTCAACGGAGTTTCGAATTTGACGTGCTCGTGCGCGCCAAGAAAAAGAAAACGAAAGAAAGAGCGGAAGAAGTAGAGAAAAAAGAAAATTTTTTCTATATTTTTTTTTTTTGTTTCGTTTCTAAGCTATAATTATATCGTACTGTTAATAAGATTGGTGTGTCTAGTCCCTCGCGATGAGAGAATGTACTCGACAGAGAGAACGAGCGAGAGAGAGAGAGAGAGAGAGAGAGAGACGGAAAGAGAGATAGATAGAACAAATTTTGGTGCGAAGAAATAACGTCCAAAACTCCTTCGAGACTCCTCATCGTAGAGCGTACATTTTTCTTGTTAAAAAAAAATTAAAAAAAAAAAAAAACGCGTAAAGGGAAAGAGCGAGAGAAAAAAATTAAGCAAAGAATAATAACAACAACAACAATAATAATAATAATAATAATAATAATAATAATAATAATAATAATAATAATAATAATAATAAATAAATAATAATAAATAATAATAAATAATAATAATAAATAATAATAATAATAATCACATCATCATTAACATCATCAATGCACAGACCCGCAGACTGACGGAATTAAAAATGTTTCCTAATCAAAATTCGTAAATGTCTCGTTGTTGTTTCGGGAACGCGCAGTGTCTTTGACAAAAAAAAAAAAAGGAAAAAGAGAAAAGAAAGAGAGAAAGAAAGGAACTGTGGAAAAGTGGGGAAACGGGAGGGAAGAATAGGGAAATAAAATGAGACCGCGTCGTGTGTCCTTCGAACGAAGTAATGACTTTTCATTGTCGCGATTATACGAAGCAGAAAAAGATGAGAGAGAGAGAGAGAGAGAGAGAGAGAGAGAGAGAGAGAGAGAGAGAGAGAGAGAGAGAGAGAGAGAGAGAGAGAGAGAGAGAGTGAGTGAGAGAAAGAAATTGGGAAAACCTTTTTTCAAAGTAATCGATCGATGTTGTAGAAACAGTGTCATTTTAAAGTAGTAGGTCGCTTCTACAGGAAAAAAAAAAGTAAAGTAAAGTAAACTAACTAAACTAAACTAAACTAAAGTAAAATAAAACGAGACTCATCCAGAAAAGGTACGAAGCTCAACGTTATTCGAAAATCGCGCGCTTCGCGAGCGCGCTCGAGGTATGACGCGAGTCACTGTACAACATGGCATGGGCGCTTGCATGCGCGTGCAAGCTCGCGTGCATTTTCGGGCGCGCTACGCCGTGTCGCGTACTCAACGGTTTTTTATACAGTAGAATTGTACCAATACCACATAGGGAAAAAAGATGTTCGTTGTTCACTGCTCTGGCTTGCTAGAAAAAAAAAAAAAATAAAAAAATAAAAAAAAAATAAAAAAAAAGGTATATTCGGGCCTCTCGGAGACTGTTCGGATCAGAAGAGAAAAAGTAAGAAAGAAAGAAAGAGAGAGTGAGGGTGAGAGAGAGAGAGAGAGAGAGAGAGAGAGAGAGAGAGAGAGAGAGAGAGGCGTCGTATTGGAAGAAGAGAAAAAAGTAAAAAATAATCGATCGAATATAAGCCTATCGATGTAAATTCAATCGAAAGTATAACTTGTTCCGGACAGTCCTCTTCGTGTGCCCATCGATATAAATCGGCAACATTTCGACATTGCAAGATTATTGGTGTACTTATCACGCAGTTTTCTACAAAATAAAGAAAACGATTTTGAAAAAAAAAAAAAAAATGATAACACGAGCCACATATACCGCAAGTATTTTATTTTTCTTCTAACGACCATTTTTGCAACCTTTTCAGCTTTGCTTTTCTTCGAAAGAAAAGTCGGCCAAGGATAGAAGAGTCTGGCGACGCGTCAATCATTGAAATTCCAGAGATCCTGATAATGATCTTTAGCGCTCGATGTCAACGATCGATGATAGCAGTTTTGAGCGCCATCCGACGGCAATCCGCTGAAACAAAATCTACCCCTGACGAGAGGCAACGATCGTACACGCGTGTACTCGAGGAAATCAATAAATATTAACGCGCAATAAGCTTACTTTTTCAAGGTAGTTTAAAGCCATTTATGTTGCCTTTTATTCACACTTGATTTTCATTGATTTTCACTAATTCGTACGTTTTTTTTCTTTTTTCCTTTTTCTTCAAAATTTTCTTAGAATCGCTTGATACGTTAGAACGGATATTTTATTTTTTAACAGAGACTTGAAATTATCGTGTCAAAGATTATCTATCTTAGTTCAAGATTTACTACGAGATATGTGAAATAAAAAGAAAAGATTATCAGAGCCATGAATAGATCGGCGACGACTAAGATTTAGTTGACGAACTGGGGATCAACGATCGAACAACTTAGACATAAAAGAAGCTTCTCGGTGATGAGAAGCCGTAAAGAAACGAAGAGAGGAGATCGTAAAAATTGAAGGAACATGATCCAGGGATAAGTGGTATCACGTTCGCAAGGTAAGGCAAGGAAAGACGTCTATTTCCGAGCGGACGACGTTCCAAATTTAAACGACGCCACCACCCGCGTTTACAAACGGTCCTGCCTTCACGGCTTCCTTACCCTCCTCCTCCCTTAAGGCGATTTTCATGAAAAACAATAGCGCATATATCAAGCGTGCACGTAAGTCTATCGAGTCAATTGCAAACGGACAAAGGACCAATAGCCAGGAACGGCGGGAATCTATGCATTTGGATAATTGCCTGGTTACCGACGTGTTTTATTCCGGTGACACTCTAAAATATTACTGTATCCGCTTCTCCGTGTCATTCCATCGCTCTATTTTTGAACGACGGAGAAGCTTCTAAGGGGACTTGTTTTGAATCCTCCTCGCCGCGAGAGAAACGACTGCGCGCGCGTTGCTCGAAAAAATCTCTCTCCCTCTCCCGCCCCCCTTTCTCACTCTCTCTCTCTCTCTCTCTCTCTCTCTCTTTCTCTCTCTCGGCCATCCCCTCCCTCCCTTCCTCCTCGATTGGGAACGACGAAAAGATGCTAAATTGCATCTTGTAGGAAACAGGCACTCCATGGACTCTATCGGAAACTAGAAACCTAGCACCGTTGATACCCCAGTCATTTATTTTTAGGATTAGGAAACGTGACTTTAGCTCCGGGATTGAATGATAGAAATGAATAGAAACCGTTTCACTTCATCGCCGAGGGATTTCTTTTTTTAGTATCAACCACGGCAAACGCTTTGGTGCATTTTTAACGAAGGGCTTGTTAATTATTTTTAGGTGTACGGTCGATGCGAACGTAGTGACCCTTTAAGATTCGAACGTCAATGCTCTCTTCGGCGAATTTCTTTTCTAGCGTTGCGCCGTTTGAGGAAACCTTAACGTAGATTTTAATTATCAAGCACGAATCTAGGTCTCGTAATGAATGAACATTCCGCATGAGTTTAGCATCGAGAGACTAGTAACCCTCTCATTTATTTTTAGAACCATTAGAAGCGAGTTAAGCACGCAAATTGAATGAACACGTTCGTGGAAATGTTGGAATACGTCGCGTCCATCTAACCGTACCGTTGTCCCGGAAATTTTATTCGAGAATAATTCGCATTAAAAGGATTGCCAGGCTCCCGATAATATCGACAATATTTATTCTCGTGGACGTGGACCGGAACCGTCCGTGGACTGGAGACAAGCCAAATTTGGCGCCTGCGTTAAAAGACTCGAATAAATATTCGTTCTTTCGAACAAAAATCTCAAAGGACACTTTTATTCATTGACAAAGCCGAAGATAATGTCAACTTTTCCTTTTTACTTTCTTTATATACCTTATATTAGCTACTCTTTTATTAGCGTTTTAATACGAATTACCTGTATTACCGCTTTATACTTTTCGGTATCGTCATTGGTACCGTTAACGAGGGGGTTGCTTTTCGAGGAATGGATAGGAAAAAAAGTAAAAGTCAGTTTGGTCGTGTTCAGACGACGTCGCCGAGGCGGGGCGCGTGCGCGCGAAGCGTCGCGACGCAACCCAGACGCCTTCTTGAATGAAACCGTCGCGGCAGTCAGTTCGCATCAAGGCGTCCACCCTCGCTTTCACTTTCACGGACTTTATATTCTCGTATGGTCTCAGCCAGGGCCAAGTGACCTCCCGACGGGATAAATCATTTCTTTTTTTTGCGAAGATGCAACGTACCCAGGTAAGATCATTAATTTCTTCTTTCACTAATCACTAATTCTTCCTTTTCTTTTCCCGCTCTCCCCCCTCTCTTTTCTCCAATTTTAATTTCCTTCATTTTTTTGTCGTTACGACAATCGCATTTTTATTTAAACGCTTCCATCCGTTACATCGTTCATCCTAATATCCTTTTCAATGGCTTTTCAAACGTGGCGCGCGTTATATGATATTAAATTAACGAGAGAAGAGTGTATAGTTAAAAAATAGTCGTCGGTTATCTACCGGAGAGACCGACGGTTCTTTTAGGGCGGAAGCGAGGCCGCCTCCTTTCATCATCGCGATCTCGATCGTTGCATATTTTCTTTTTAATCGGTGCCTATTAGATCGACGTCGATAATTTTCACGCCAACTCAAACAAACGATAGGCTAACTAGACTCGCCGAGATTGGCGATCGTACAAACAATCGGTCCCACTTTTAGCATAACACGAGCATGCTCTCGACTTTCCCGATTCCTTTTCGCTCGATCCCCTTGCATGTGGAAGGCAAAGAAACGTTGGCTCCACAAAGCGATACCGACTAAGTTTTATATATATATATATATATTTTTTTTTTTTTTCTGGCAATTAATCAGGCAAAAAGAATTTTGCCTTTTTGAAAGAGTAACATCGACGATCGATCGAAACGAGGCTGGGAAAGTGTTAAAACCGTCTTTTCGCGATAATCGATAAAACTTATCGAATCGCGCTTTACGATTTTAACATTCGATGACCCAAATAAAGGACGCTCCATTACATGGATCCACCGGACTTTAATGTGTACGTATAAGGGATCCCTCGTAAAGCTCTTTTAGTTATCCAGCAAAGCACGCACCACGGGGTGTCGTATATTTGCCGTGGAAATTAACGCCCACGGTCGATCGTTAATCGTTCGAACAGTCACACCGAAGATGTTACATGTCACAACGTAGATCAGAAATACGATAGAGAGAGAAGGACGTTGTCCTAGGAGTCCTGGCGTCGGAACTATCGAGTCGTTTCTTTCTTTGCTTTTTTATTCGGCCATTAGACTCGAACATACGTGCTAGACATTTCTAATGAAAAGTCTAGTGATAAAACCGTACAATTAGAGCGACGATAGAGTGAAGTTTCCATCGAACGAGCGCACCTTTTCTCTATCCAGGAATTGAGGACAATAATCGAGGATAATAATTGGGGTGGGGGGGGGGGGTTTATTACGTTCGTAAAAAGACGACGCTCGATTGATCTCAAGAAATATCTACGAGCGAACCTGTGTCTGTAAGTCAGAGCAAACACGTCGGAGCAACGAGGAGACGAGAAATAGAAAAAGAAAATATAAACTGAAAAGTGTCTGGAGATATAATATGGTCCTAAGCGGAAGTACCGAATCCATGTTCCGGAAAGTTGGCGAGTGCTCGTCGACGGACCAACGAGTAGCCTGATTTCCAGGAAAATCTAATTGGCCGAAGCAGGTGGTCTTTGTATTTACGTAGGTGCATATCTATGTCTAAAGATCGCTCGTAGAAGAGATTAGATTCGTCAACGTGTCGTTAATCAATTAGTCTTTAATAATACATAATAGCCGTAGAGGATTTCAATGATCGTACGAACGCTTCGAGCGTCGCAGGGATACGTTCGAAGGATAGGAACAAAAGTAAGAGAAGAACGAAGGAGGACGAGTGAAAGAAAGGGTGGTTATTGCCGATTTTACCGTACATGTTAAAGATCCGTACACATCAACGTGGCAGCATTAGATATGAGTGAACGTTATATAAGGCGGTCTTAATATAGCGAACACTCGCTGGACCTTAGCCATATTCATAGGCGAGAGAGAAAGAGGGGAATACATTAGACGCAGGCAAGCGCACCGCGCTTGTAAAGAAACCGATGCGCAAAGATAAGTCGATTTACCCGTAATACTAATATCTTTTCGTCTCGAGGTACGTTATCGTCGTATTTCGATGATCGATACGAAAGGATTTAGGATATGAATTGAATCCCGGTCGAGATCGATAAGCGAGACATAATCGAATGATTAAGCGAGAGAAGTAGAGGGCGTTGTACGCTCGACAGATGCGCGTAATTTAACATGGCATTAGACATGACATCGTCGAAGAAGAAGAGAAAGAGGAAGGAGGGCGTGGCCTTCGAGGGGGCTCTCCTTTCACCGTAGGTCACTGGCCTCGGCTCCAGCTACGTCGATGACAACCGCTTACGTTCTTCCAGCGTTATACATTCATCCTGAGAAGCAAACGATAGGAGAAAATTGTCGTTTCTTTTTTTCTCTGGATACCTCTTGTTCATTGATATCCCACGTTGTCATTCGCGGATGACCATTTTTAACCGAGGCGCGTTTAGTCATTACCGTTAGCCGCGATAAAAGCGCCTTTTTTCGAACGTACTTTAGGTTCGAGCGAAAATTCTCCGAAGGTGCTCGTTTAGAATTTTCGAAAGCAACAGGTATTCCTTACGGCGCAACGCGACGTAAGAGAAAGAGAGAGAGGAGCGGCGGGGACGGGGGGCGGGCCGCGAGAGAGAAAATGGGGAATAAAATCTTTGCATCCTCGGTCAAAGGAAGGAACACGATGGTAGTTATCAAGTCTCTCTCACAAACAGAGAATTTAACGATTAATCCGTGGCTCGTATCCAATGACCGAGTGCCGATAAAAATAGCGATGAATTAAGCGATGAATCGAGTTAAAAGTTTCAAGAGGAAATCGATGTTTCAATAAAATGACAAAAAAATGATGGAATTAATAGAGCGAGGCTGTTCTTTCCATTTACGAAAAAGAAAAAACAAATAAATGTTCGAATTAAATGATAAAAATACGCTCGAATACGCGCAATGAATCCTATCCTCCACGGACGAAGAAATTTAAGAGCGGATCGTTCTAATCCGGTGTAACAATACACAAACGGCTAAGAATCGATAAATCCTTGGTCGGTTGCGATGCCTCGAAGAAAATGACCGAACGATATTGTAAAAATCTCCCTCGGGAGAATCTTTTTTCGAATTGGCGCGTATATCTCGCAGCCGTTTGGAACTTTAAATTTAGACGGAGCGAAGGAAGATTTCACCGAAGCTATCTTTCTCTTGGTCTCTCTCTCTCTCTCTCTCTCTCTCTCTCTCTCTCTCTCTCTCTCTCTCTCTCTCTCTTTCGGCGTATCTCAAGGTGCACGTAATAGAGGAGAAATAGCATAAAAGCAACAATTCAAGCACGGACCGCTCGTCCAACTAAGTAAACTTATCGTTGTATCTCTAAAGCTCGGCAGTTATAATACATACCTGTATAATGGTATAGAAGCATGCTCGTTTTTCAAAAGAACAAAATGGCGAAAGCCCGTCGGCGAAGCCGAACCGAAATATCTTAGAAGGAAAATCTTGTAGGCGCATTGTAATTACATCGCGAACCGATTCGCTTGGATGGTTTAATTTCTAGACCGTTCAACGTTAGATATTAGAAAGACGTATATGCTTGGCACATGAGATCCGCCATTGTTACGGGCGTTCGACCGTCACCAGGATTCGTACGCCGTTGTTCGGATAAATTAACGCTCTCTTTGTCTTCCCTCCCTAGCGTCTTTTCTTTCTTCTCTCTATTTTCGTGCGCGCGAGTTTCGCGCCTGCCTGGATAAATTCGTCCGCGGAAACGGAACAAAGAAGGAAAATGGTGGAAATCCAAAGAAGAAAGGAAAAATCGTCGATCGGTGTTGGCAGAGGGTGTGTCTTTTTCCGCTTTGCTGCCGCTTAAGTAGAGTTCGCCAGCAAAGGGGAACAGGCCGACCCTCCCGCATTAAATGGATTCATTTCGCTCTTATTTTCTTTTCCTTATTGGAAAAGAACCAATCGCGTCGTTAGAACGGACGAGGATGCGCTCTTTGGAAAAGTTGGTAAGTGACATGTTTTCTCTTTCTTTCCTGCGAGAGAAATAAATGTTTCAGGCGAAAACTTTGAGGAACGATCTCGTTGCTTTTGAAGTATTAATAACGAGGGACGCGGGCATAAATCCGCATCCGCAGGTGCAGAGCAGCGCGCGCGTGCCACCGAGCACGACGTATTAATATCCATCTTCTCATGTGCGTTCCCCCGATATCGTATTTCTCGGTCACTCGATCGGCTCGATCTTTCGGCTCTTTTTCGAAGGGACCATTTTATGGAGATTTCGAATTTCCAAAATCCACAGCTGGCGAGAAAGAGCGAGCGAAAGAGAAAAGAGAGTTGGTTCTCCTTAGTCGGACGGATTAATAGTCCATTGCCGAGTTTGAGGTATATTTTCGTCCGGACGTCGAACGACGAGCTTACTCGCTGCCTCCCTCGCAGACTTCTCTCGCGAAAGTTATAACGGAGTATCTCAATCTGCCTCTAAAAACACTCTCTTACTTTCTCTCTCTCTCTCTCTCTCTCTCTCTCGCTCGCTCGCTCGCTCGCTCGCTCGCTCTCTATCTGAGCGAAGATAGAAAGTAATGTCGCGCTTGGTTATTTAAGTCGAGAGATAGGAGATATTATGTTACCAAGCCTTTAAGATCCTTCCGTGTACACGTCGGCCGATTAATCATCGACTTTTCTACTTTCTTCAAAGAAAATCTTCTCCCGAAGGTGTGAGACATCGATCATCCAACGATGTCATTTGATCCAACTTTTATCAATAATCGCGATTAACTATAGTTGCAACGACAAGTTCGAAAGACGAGATCGAGTTCTTTTTCGATTCACTTATCCTTTTCGTTGGTTGCCTTTGGCATCGTTTCGTTGTTTCCACAGCTGTCCCCTAGGTAAAATATGATCCTCGTTAGGATACGTTCGAATGATGATACATCCAAAATCGATCGTTTTTCTTCGATCCACTCGAATTTACCAATTAGCTCAAATTTTGTTATTACTTTAACGCGCCATGTATCTTTCTTCCTCTCGTATCTCGGCTCTCAAAAAATGACAAGTATCTCGTATCCAATAATTGATAGTTCACGGTTTGGCTCGTTACACGTGACACAACTCTAAGCAGTCCTTTCGTAACGGAGTGTGATGTTACGTTCGCGATGAGTTGGGCGTGACGAGATGTAATCTCTCGGTTAGAGTCTTGACGTTTGATTGGCAAAGCAAACAGTGGGATACTCGTTTCGCGTAGGCGAAACAAATTCACGGCAAGATCTTTGCGTCAAAATATTCGATCGTAATAGGATCATATACCATCGGTGATACGAACGACATTGACTTTAAAAATGAAATAATTATGGGTAAATGAGTTTTTATCTTTCCAGTGTCGTTCGTTTGCTATATACATATATGTAAATGTGGCAAGAGATTTTGGTAAAGCAAAAACAAAAGGTCAAGAGGAAGATGGTGAAAACGACGCAATAAATCATCAAGATCTTCAAGATCATCGGGATCATCGTTCTACGTCCTCTCTTCGGCCGTTCGAAAAGTTTCTGGTAACTAATTTCGGTGTTGCGCGTTAACTGCGCGAACGACTCTAAAGATGGTGATTATTTTTGTCGCAGGTACACGCAGGCCGTCGACAAAGATCAGAAGGAATCTACTAGAGCGGAAATGAAGCGTAAGAAGTGTCCGTATCGTCTGTGACAGATCGACAGACGCTGTCGTCGTACACGGTGATTTAATTCCGGTAGGTAGACTGCTCTCTTCTACCTTTCTCTCTCTCTCTCTCTCTCTCTCTCTCTCCCTATGACCTATGTAAAAAAATGATCTATTTGACAGGTAGCACGCGTGCATCCACGATTTTACCTCGGAAAGCTCGTTCCATGTCTCCTCGCATCACAACCAGTTCGAGAATGATTTATGACATTAGCCGAGTGAGAAAGCGAAAATTTACATTATCGCGTCGACGCTAACCGCAATTGTCTACGACTATTGCGACAAAGGAGGAGACTAAAGGAGGAGGAACGAAGAGACAGAACGCAGAGTTATTTTGTGAGCGCGTGTGGCCTCCGGTCATAAGAGACGCTTACCTACCACCGTGTGATTTATAAGATCGCGGAAAGGGATCCATTCCTGAATCATGCCTAGGTGACACCATCAACGGTCCTCTTCTTTTTCTCTCCTTTTTCCATCTCTTTAAATTCCTCTGGAAATTCGGCTCATTGCGCCCACGCTTTATCTTCAATTATTTCGCATTGAATTTATATCGTCGATTTATTTCGCGCCTTACCACTTTCTAAGAATTTCATTTAATTAGCAAGAATTATTCCGGGACTACATAGATCATTCTTGAGAATTATTTGTAAAAATTCGTTTAAGGATGCAAACGACAAAGTACGTTACGCACAAATAGATAAGAAATATAGCGCGTTAGATTGGACGACGACATGCTTGATTTATATCTATCGTAAAGGTAATAGATAATACGAATCACGTCAATCTTAAGAGGACGTTAATTAACTTAGACACCGAAACCTTTGGAATTTGACCAAGCGTCGTTGATTTTATCTCTTTCTCTTTATCTCTCTTCCTTGACGATAAACTCACGACAGATAGAGGAGAGAGGATATTTCGCTATCAAGTCAGCATGAATATTTTACGGAGGCTCAGAGACTAATGCCATTAAATCGAAATCTTTCATATTTCCCGAGATTTTCGTTCTTCGAATGGAGCTTTTTATAGAGAGCTCGCGTTTCTCGCAAAGGCACGCACGAATGCAGCGAAATCGACTTGGCCGTGTTCATCGGTTAGCATCTGGTAACGCTGACCCAAGATCGTAAACAATCGCAAAAAATAAAAGAGCCGAAAGAAGGTTACGGGGATGATTTAATGCTTCTAAAATTATTATGGGAAACCATGAAGAGTAACAGGATCGAATAAAAGTCTCGATTTCGCGTATTTGTCGAAGTCGTATGTAATGTCGCCAGGAATAGTTAACGATCGGGGCCATATCGAAAAGTAGAAAGCTTCGTGCTTTTAACATTCTGTTTGTATTTTCAGTCGCTTCGAAAGGATCATAAAATCATTTTCGATGACATTTACGACGTCCACGAGATAGGAATAATTATTTTTCATCGTTTCGCAAAACGAAAGATAGTAGTCGGAGATCGCTGACCTAGTTTCTTTTCTCGGAAATTTGTCGTTCTCTTTAAATGAATCCTAACGACTCAACTCGATTTCCGTCTAGTTGATTGGGACATCACGAGTTACGACGCGCGCGCGCACGTGAAAGAAAAAGAAAGATCAAAGGAGAGAATATCGCGGTGCTAGCAAAAATCCTGCTGTTCCTCCGTCTACGAGTCTACCCTCGATCACACCTATATAACACTTTCCAGAATGATAAATCAGCCGAGTCCCTCTTGCCATCGTATAATAGTCTTTGAAACACCGAGCAAACCGTTTTCTCTCTCTCTCTCTCTCTCTCTCTCTCTCTCTCTTCCCATTTCTCGCCCTACCAGCACGCGCGCACACAGAGAGACAGAGAGAGAGAGAGAAACACACGTAGATGCGCCATGGACCATCTTCAGAATGCGACTATCGATCATGAAACTCACGAGCCGAGTCAAACCGGTGCGCGAGCTCCGACCATTATTTTAATCGCTCTTTTTGGGATCCTATTGTAGCTGATTTATGAGAGTGCCCGAAATGTTTCTCTCTTTCGATGCTTTAAATATAATACATTCCAATCTGCAAAAGTCCAATAGGAGGATCCTTCTTACCTTCCCTCGTTATCCTTATTATTATTATTAAAGGGATATCATAAGATGTAAGAATGTATAAAGAAAAAAAAGCGCACGTAGATTTGACGAGCCCAACAGGATTCTTGCATCAAGGAGCACTTTGGGATCTTTATGGCGACGTCCAAGAGCGAAGTTTTCCGTAAAATGAACAACGAAAAAGGAGAAGAATCATGCTGCGAATCGTATAATTCCATCAAGGAGGAATAAAACTACGGAGCTGGTTAAGAAGCAATTCTTTTTCTCCGATGGAAAGTATTCGAATGTGACGCGATGAATCACAAGATTTTCAATTTATTCATTACAACGAGAAGAAAAAGATAAGATACCGAAATAGCGTATAAAACCGAATCTAGGCTCGTCGTTGAGTCCTTTTCCAGATGGCAAGAAAATTTGCGAGCAGCATGCTGCACCGATATGTGGGTGCAACGTATACGTTAATAGTCTTTATTTCTCTCTTTCTCTTTCTCTGGCACAGTAATGGGACGGTAACGAAAACTGACGCACCGCGAACGTCTCTGGACCGTATCCAAAATTGGGTTCCAAACGTTTAAACAGGAAAACGCCGTGCTTGTTCGCTCGTTTGCTCATTCGCTGGCGAATTTCAAGAATGATTTTACGATCGATCCATTCGGCTGTGAAAATTTAGATCGACTTACTCGCGATTAGCCATGTTTATGTATATGTGTATATATCTACGTACTTGATCATTTCCATGACAGTTAGTCCATAAGTGTAGGACGAAACGATCGCGTTAGAAATTTCCTGGAATTTATTGAAATATATCCAAAATTGATATCATTCGGCTTATCCTCGAGTTTCACTTGGATTTACGTAGACAAGACTACTACTCCAAGTGGCTTTCGCCGCTCGGAATTCATAAATATTTCGTCCGTATGCTAAAATAAAGCTCCATCCTGAGTGCGTCAGCTCTCGTTAGCCTCGACGACTGAATCATCAGATTTTCGAGCCGATAGCATACGCCTGCACGGCCAAACTGAATCGTGTACGTCCCGTGTTCTCTTCGAATTCTTTAATATTATATTTAACTATTATTTTCTCTCTCTTTCTCTCTCTCTATATATATATATATATATATATATATATATATATATATATATATTATTTTCCACGTAAGTACGTGTAAGTCGAAAAACTAAGACTAAGGAAGAAGGGGCAAAGGATGATTAACTCATGTGACAGCGTAATGCGACGAAACCATACGCAGAATCATGGAGAATGGTAATGAGAGAAATATTGAGCAATAAACGTCGATTGTAAAGCTCGTTAGCGTCATTATATTCTCGTCGCCCTATGAGCACATACACGTTCGTAGAAGAAAATGTTGAATTATCGAGTTGAATAGTTATATCGGATGGAATAGTTTTAGTAACATTTTGTTGAAATAAAAAACAAACCATAGAAGAATAATGGCAGAATAGTTTTGTTCGAAGCTATCGTAGATATATCGCACATTGAATTTGATTTCTTAACGATGAAAAATATTCCTTCGGATTAAAACGAGGAACTTTCGAAAAGCCCGCCTAGTCGGAAGTACGCGTAGCGCCATCTGGCTCGTCGCTTCCTATCCGAAATAGTAGCGAGAAAATGGCAGCTGCGCGCAAAATCGTGTTTATTTACGTGCTGTCTACGATTGATTGATCACAAAGTATCGTAAAGTAATCGAGCTGAGCGGGAAAGCGAGTAGTGCTTTTTGTCGGTGGATCGTTGAAAATGAACGATAGAGGATTGGTTAGAGGAGGAGGAAAGATAGAAAAGGACGTTTGAAAATACCAACCGAATGAATATTTTCTTGGTGGTGGTCTCTCGCGTACGCATACGTAGCTGCATCGAATCTTTGTCTCTTGGACAACTCTAACCTCTGAAAAGAGTCGCGCAGTAGCGCCGTACCTAGGCGTTCTGGAATTTTCCTAGGAATTGTCAAGATTCCTTTGGCCAAAGCACAAAGTGGCCCTCCACCGTTATTTTTCGGCACGATGCCATGTTTCCGCGTTCTCTGAATCCACGAGCGTTCAAAATCTTAACCATGGCTGACGAAGTTCTGCCGGCGAGTTTGGAGAAGCTCGAAATCGATCGACTCTCATCGAGTTGTCCCCAGTAAGTATTCTCTTCCGACATTATTATCATATTTATCGTCCTTTCTAATTTTTCAATCTGTAATTGATTTTCGTCGTACTCGGAACGTCTCTCTCTCTTTCTCTCTCTCTCTCTCTCTCTCTCTCTCTCTCTCTCTCTCTTTTTCTCTCTCGTAGTCTATTCTCGGTCAAGGTCCTCCATTTAACCAATTACCAGTCAACTTTGTTCGTCGACAGAAGCCGTTTGTATTCCCGATGCGTAGAAAAATAGGAAAGTGTGTGTGTGTCGAGAATCTGACGTTGCCGAGCAAGAGGAAAAGAGAGGGAGAGAAAACGTGCACAGTCATATTCGCCATTCGAACATGATCGATGTATTGCGAGAGATGTATTTTGCTTTGCTTGATTGCATAATAGGCGATAGAAAGCAGACGCTTAACGATACAAGCAATTTCAAGACACAAAGAATCAAAAGAAATTACTCATCATAATCTTTTCTTTCCATTTATTCGTTTTTTTATATCTCTATACGTAGTATGTTATATTAATTGATACTCTTTCCTATTGAGGGTTATTTTTAAGGGCTCCTCCTGAAAGAACATATTCAATGAGACCAATTCTTCACCCTTACAATTTTCTGTTTCAGCATCGCCTCGACGGAAACCTTGAAACCAACGAATCCTTTTAGAACGACAGGCAAGAGCACAAGTCCCGATTGCAGTTACTTGTTTAGAAGAAAATCGATGCCTAATAATAGATCAGTGCCATCCACGACGATTACCCGGTACGGTGTAAAAAGTACAACGAACTTTAAGCCTTCTAAGAACGAAAGACTTCAAGACAAGACAAAGAAGAACTGTATCATTAAGGAGGCTGTTTTGCAACTGGGTTCTACCGATACTAATTGTTTAAGTGATAATTTAGCTGGTAGTCTGGTCAAACAGACCTGCAGATATAGTATTCCTGGTAGAAATTGTAAAACATTTGGTCACGGTTCTGTCACTAAAGACTTTAAGGCGTTAAACATTAGTCAAGACTCTAGACAAGCTAAAGACGATACAAGCATCCAAGACAATTATCAAGGTGGAAGTTTTCAACGCGCTCGCAGTAATACGATGCCAAGTTTAAAGAGAGGTCCTGGTCCTGGCGGGGGTGGCCAACAAGATGCGATCTCTGTATCCGGCCAATCTCCAAATACGAACACTTGCTCCGTACAAGCGCGTATATCACCGCCCTCCTGTGACGTTACTATAGACGAACTTGCCAGCTATTTTGAGGAGTTCGTTCATATTCCAAAGAAGATGTCTCACATGGCAGAAATGATGTACATTTAATCGACAATGCGCGTTTCCTGTGACAAGATTTAATTTGGTATCTAAATTATATCTAATAAAAGGAAAAATAATTCATAAAGCTTATTCGATGCCGAGGAGCGAAAAATAATCACGAGTTATATCTGGGCTTTTTTTTCTCTCTCTTTTCTTTACTAGGGAAGTTGTTGTTTGCACTTATTAAGATGATAGATATGCATGTTGCTATTTGACCTATCTCTGTGTTTCTATCCATTATATGTTTCCTGTGTCTCCTTTCAATTGTAAAGATAAACACTCATTATTTAAGAATTTTTTGTATTTCGAGGTAAATTATTGGTCTTAGAATAAATCTCCTGGGATCAAAACGTTATGCCCGTTAAGTCCGATCAACTTTTTACCCATACATTACTGCAACCTCCTTCCGATCGATCAGAATTGATTGACAGAAATAATCTCATGGGATTTCTAGTAGTGGATACGTAAGTCCAGCAACGGGAAGAAATATTTTCACGGCCTCTAATATGGTACATAATATATTTATCTGTATAGGCTTAAGGTAATTAATCCAATAATACAAAGTAATCATTAAATTACTTAATGATAATAAGCTTTGGTACATAAAAAATGATGACGTTATACATATACAGATTCTTTTATCTCAAAGGATAGCGGTGAATCGTATTTACGTGGCGCCAGTTATGTTAGAACGATCGAATATAATGAAAAAATATTTCTTCTATCCTCTGCTCGTGCACCACGTGACGACCATTTTGTTGCTGCTGCTGCTGCTGCTGCTGCTGCTGCTGCTGCTGCTGCTGCTGCTGCTGCTGCTGCTGCTGCTGCTGCTGCTGCTCCTGCTGCTGCTCCTGCTGCTGCTGCTGCTGCTGCTCCTGCTGTTGCTGTTGCTGTTGCTGTTGTTCAAAAGTGCATGTAATTCGCGACGAATAACCAACCGTTAAACTTGTTACTATATACACAACATTAGTACGTGTAATGTCGCGGTAATCCCGTGCAATGTTCAAACTCTGTATCAAAACGTGAGGTCTGCCGCTATATCACAGATTTATCAAGATTTCATTTGAACGGGGCAACGGCGAGATACGCGTGTTAATAATCATAGAGATAGAAATTTGTCGAATCGAGATAGTATCACGATATATACCGATATGAGCCACAGGGGGCTCATCATATTTTGTTTCGTTAGGTACACGATAGAACGAATGAGAATGCCTTTCTGGATTGCCGCCGTAACGTTTGATTCTTTTAATTATAGAATGGCAGTTGGAGCGTTGGCGAATCGTTTGTTCTTAAAAATGATTTATCCTTTTCGGCGAAGAAACGAGTAACGTCGACCACGTGATGCTTTTGCAAGAGTCTAAAGTTAGAAGAAAAAAGAAAAAAAATTAAAATAGATTGTGGGGAAAAAAAGTCTCTCTGATTTACTACCGATGCGCTCGGTATATCAATGAAATCATTCTTTTTTTTTTGCAATCTGTATATCTTTCTCTTTTTCTTCTTAAATCCATTATTATATGGAATCGAACTTGCATAAGACGACTATTCTACAAACTACTACGGCGACACTCGATCGTCGGCAAAACTTTCAAATGATCATCCTTCTTTCTTTTTCTAAACCTCACGAAAAAACAACAACATTTTGATCAGTATAAAACGCTCATAGAAAAATGTACTGGACGTGGTAATAGCTATCTAAAGCTACAAAATGTGACATTTTTAACGCGCATATCACCGCTTATATCTTTCATTCCTTTCTCACGTTCTCGTGTATTTTTTTTTCTTTTTTTTTCTTTTTTTTTTTTTACTTTTTCTTTAATTTTCCTTAATGTCGCGCCAATCGACTAATTCGCAGTAAAATGCTCGTGAAAAATATTTAGTTAGGACACGCGTAACACAATTATTTTCTCTCTCTCTCTCTCTCTCTCTCTCTCTTTCTCTCTTTCACAATGAAATTTCGATAAACTAATGATTTATATCCATAGACTTAATCCTAACGATACGATTTCGCATGGGACGACGATGAAATAGACGAAATATCGGACACCCTCTCCCTCTCTAAAAAGGAAAACGTGCGGATACGTAGATTAAATGACGTATCGATTTTTTCGGAGGAGATTCAAATAACTATCGCGTTTAATTATTTTTTAACGTTTCTATCTTTTTTCATCTACGTTCTAATTTTAACCTGTCATTTGTATGTATCTTTAGTAAAAAATTTACAATTCTCCTCTCTTTTTCTTCCTCTTTCATTCAGACATTTTGTACGAATAACATCGATGGCTTATTATATCTTGCGTACCATTTTTTACTAGATCGCCTTTAACGCACGCACGCACGCACACACGCACACGCACATACACACACCCCCAGCCACGCACGCACGCGTACGCAAGGAGATAATATAAAGTTTCTTTTTTACGGTACACACACGCGCGCGCATACTCTGGCTTATAACCAATATTAGTAACTTTTTTCATTTCTTCCTCACTCATTCACTCTCGTTCATCTCGTATTAACTACGAAAACACTAAACTCACGCGTCGTAATGTTGTGCAATCTAAAGGAAAAATCTTGCACGTACATAACTTGTTTTATCAATAGCTATTGTAGTTCTAATCCGTAATTTGTTAAACGCAAAGAAAATAGATTAATCGCAGACCCCGTCTGGTCTCCCGTTTTTATGGTATTTTTCGTGACTTAGGGAAAAATCACAGCTAAAAATAATCGTACGAATACTGAATTAAATACTTATACCCTTGATAGAAACAAACTAATATGCGTTTTCTTAAAAGAAACAAAAAAGAATCAAGTCAAGTATGACGTTTACCATGTAAATATACAGTCAAATACCTTACTCGCGAAATCTCTTTGTCACTAGTTCCATTTCACACATTAATTTGTGCATTTTCGACGATATTCGATATAACAATTGGTGAATATTTAATTCGTACGATAATTTTCGAAGGTGTCGTCGAAAGATATTTTTTCATTAGGAAAACTTGACTATGATCGGAGATCAATGACAAAAATTATTACGTATCGTTATCTCTCTCTTTGTCCCTTCGTAATCGACAATAATCTAACGGTCTAAAATATGATTATATCATCTATGACTTTTAAATACTATCTATACTACCTTTCAATTCGTATCAACGCTACTGCTCTACACACCTTAATTAATAGTAATATTTCGATCAAACATCGTTCACTTAATATTTCTCAAAATTGTGAAAACTTGTAATCAACGATTCATTCAGGATTTTATATAAGATGTGTGTGTGTATATATATATATATATATATATATATACACACACATACATACAAATGCGCGCGCGTACGCCACGCACACACACACACACGCACGCACGCACACGCACACGCACACGCATTAGACAAATTTTATATCTTTCTTTCATTTCAGTCGGGATAACACATGAGATTCAAAAATCCGGCAGTTATTCACAATTGGTCACGAAGCTTAATTGAATTTGGTACTTTTTAGATAGTCGTTTCCTTCTTTATATCTTTTTTCTTTTTTTTTTTTTTTTTTTTCATTTTACTTTTTTCCTTCATTATCCTCCTACGTAAGACGTCGAAAGATTTTTCGGCAGTTATTCACGATTGGTCAGAAGAATATCGGAAAGTTCTTACCTTTCGCGTTAACCTGATAAATAATACCTATAAGATTGATAAAGTTCATGGCACACAAGGTTTTCCGTCATCGAGAGAGAGTATTTCTATCGTAAAGAATAGTCGCGCGTGTTTATAAAATCGCCATAATTCATACCTATTGCGTCAAGAAACAAGTCGCACATTTGTCTTTACTATTTTTTCATTGGTTTTCTTCGTCAGTAATGGATTTCGATTAATGGTTTTTCTAAATTCTCTGACGTAATCGTCAACAATAACGATCCCACTTGGTTATCGCCGTTTTTGCGTTTTATTCTTTAGCAATAAATACCGTAAAATTCCATGGCACAGTTGATGTGCGCTGGATGAAAATGACCATGCGGCACCATGTGACTCTGCATGTGGGCTGTGTATCAGTCCGTCGGTGGCTCGAGATAAGGTATTTCACTAGTGACGTTAAACGACTCGAAATAATGATTAAGGAACTCAAAGGTGGGCCGTTTCTCGGGACTGGCGTCCCAGCACTGTAACATTAATCGATATATACTGTCCGGCAGCGGATGGTTCAGTGGTTTGGGCATACGGTAACCTTTGTCGACTTGCTCGATCACTTCTCGGCCGTGCATACCTGAGGGAGAGAAGTGTTGCTTTTATCGTTTATCAAAATATGAGATGTTATGAAGAGATAAGAAGAGTTGCATCTGAATTGCACTTACCGGGATAAGGAACTTGTCCGTAAGTGAATAACTCCATTAGTAAAATACCATAGGACCAAACGTCGCTCTTGATGCTGAACCTTCCGTAAACGATGGCTTCGGGAGCGGTCCACTTAACCGGGAACCTACTTCCCTGTTTAGGACAGTATTCGTCGTCCTCGATCACTCTAGCGAGGCCAAAGTCGCAAATCTTCGCTTTATTCTTCTCGCCTATGAGAACGTTCCTAGCAGCTAAATCTCTGTGTATCAACTGTTTGCTCTCGAGGTGTTCCATGCCGGAGGCAACCTGGGCAGCGATATAAATCAAGTCCTCGAATTGCATATACTTGCCGTCACCGGTACGTAAAAAGTCCAAGAGGCTCCCGTTACACATGTACTCTTGGACGATGTAAATTGGTTCCTCTTTCGAGCAGACCGCGTATAAGGCGACCAAATGCCGGTGCCGAAATTGTTTCATTATCGCGGCTTCTTGAAGGAATGCCTCAGTCGACATGGTACCCGGACGAAGCGTCTTCACCGCCACTTCGATTTTGTTCCGCCATTTGCCGTAATAAACCTCACCAAAGTTACCGTGTCCCAATTTTCTTATCAGCTGTATCTCGTTCCTGTTGATCTCCCATTTGTCACGCAATTCTGGCCCGAGATCCCACATGTCCGGCTGGGGCTTCGGACAGGGCTTCGATAAAACGTGACAGAGGCCTAACGCGTTTTCTAACATATGGAAAAACAATCAAGTTGACTTTTTAATCGCCTCGTTGATCGCGAGAAATTTTACTTTAAGAGGTATATACTCACTGCTGTACGCCATAACGAGAGCTGGCAAGGTTGGGAATGTCTGATTCGTGGCGATAAAGAAGCCGCCATTGTCTAAAGGTTTGATCTTATAGTGTTTCACGTGATGACCCCTGCCCTCTTCCCAATCCTTTACCGACAGACTGTAACCCCTTGGATTGTGCTCGCTTGGTCTTACCAAAAATGTGCCGCGTGGATTTTCATCGACCAGCAACAACTTTCCTGCTTCCTTGCGCGAGACGTTCTCGAAGAACCAACTGCAAACGACGATATATATATATACATATATATATATATATATATATATATATATATATAGAGAGAGAGAGAGAGAGAGAGAAAGAGAGAATATTAGATTTCTCGTTCGTCTCGTATCTTTGGATTCTAAGAAAAAATTTCGAAAAAAATGAAATTGTCCGACACGCACTCTTCGCTTTCGACGGAACGTTCGACCGCTACGAAATTCCACGGGATTAGACCTTCCTGCAGGGTCGTCAGGTGTAAAACCTTCCACCAGTCCGGCTCGGAATCATCCAAAACTTCCATTCTGTCGCCCTTGACGAAGCTCACATCGGTGCTCTCGCGAGCCGTATAATTGTACAGAGCCACGACGATTTTGTTTGCTCGTTGGGAGTGAGCTATTAAAAACAATGATTGTACTTGACGAAATACCTTTGAAGCACCTTACTGGAGAGCAACGATTGCCATTAGCAGGACAAAGTTTTGAATGAAAAGAAAAGGGAAAAGGTGGAAAAAAAAGAGAAAAGAAAAAGAAAGGAAGAAAGGAGAAGGACCACTAATTCGATCTACGATCAAAGATAAATCAAGATGATAACATAAAATAATACACACATGCAGGCGTAACGACAGGCGAGCTTGTTTTACGTGGATGATGCTGTATCTGTAGCTTACAAGGTGTTGGCCTCGGACGGATAATATCCGCCCTGGCTTGTACGCCTCTCTGGTTTGGATCGGCTGTGTATCGGTCCAAGGAACCACCATTGCTATGTTTTGAGCTCAATCCCGTTTCTGCTTTCGTGTACCCTGCAAACGTATGGAAAATAAGATACTTCGTCTTTTAATCGGGATCGAATTCTTCTTCATCCCGTTGAAACTTACCGATTGGTTGAGGCTCCTGTCGTTTGCTACAACACTTGCCCATTTTGCTTCACGTTCCTGACGTTCTTCCGTCTCAATCGTTAGAACATTCGAATCTCATCAGGATTCCCGTGAAATGTCTTCATTTCTTCGTCTTTTCAAATAATCCTCCTCCACCTGTCCATCCTGTGCGTGCGTGCGTGCGTGCGTGCGTGCGTGCGTGCGTACCTACGATAGGAAAAAAGAAACGAATCACAGATACGATTATCGTCATTCCACCGCCGATCGTCTCTGTATCGCGTGGAATCGCAATGGAGGTCGATCGCAGGATGCAGGTCGCGCATGTTAATGTACGGTTGTCACTCAACTTCGGTCGAGCGTGAAAAATAGCGAGACTCGATAATAATGCATTATCGTTATTATAATCGTATAATTCTTAAAGGCTCATTCTTTTTTTCTTCTTTATTTCCTTCCATCCTTCTTTCTCAAATAGATCGAACAAATAAATTAGAAATTATATCGTGTATCCGGGAACCGTTTGCGCCTGAAAATCGGCAACCTTTCGTACCTCGTCGGTAATGATGGTCGTCGAGTCGTCGATAACAAAATTTTGTTAAACTCATTTTTTTCTTTTCTTTCCTTTTCTTTTTACGCGTATCCTCCGAGACAATTAATTAATTTTCCAAGAGATCCGGAACACGGTCGAGCATGCAATTACACGAGGGATTATTCTAACGTGGAATTGCCTTCGACGTTTCCGATTAACAAGGACGGCCAACGCGTTGTGACTGTTTTCCCGATTGAAACGTGCAACAGAGAGAAAGATAACGAATCTATGTAAATCTTTGAAATTAACAAATCGTGTATACCGAGAAAGAGGGGGGGGAGAGAGAGAGAGAGAGAGAGAGAGAGAGAGAGAGAGAGAGAGAGTTCGACTCTATCTTAAGGGTTTACGAATACGTTTCTTGTGCAAATTTCCAACGTTATTACAACGAGAGCTTAGGATTATCCTGTATACTCGGTGATAAGTTACTTTAATCGTAGTTCGTATAAATCGCACGTTATCGCAGAGGTAGGTCACGAACATTCGACGATGTCGAACGGAAAGATAGGCGAATGAATATCAATTAAAAGAAGAATTCATTTCGAGTATGGCAAACGCGAAAAAAGGGGACACATGATTATACAGAAGTAGGAAGATGCTCAAATCCGGACGCATCGCGAGGAAAGTTTTTAATTAAACAGTTGGAGGGATTTTTCTCGGATGCATACATCTATAGTTAGTACATATGTACACGTAGAAATATCGAACGGAATAAGGACGTTGAAGGGTCGATTTGGATATGGCTTGCTCCACCTCCTCCGCCCCCATAGAAACTATGCTTGTAGGGATACAGTTATGTACGTACGTATGGGTCGACACAAACACCTTCAGGATCAACCCTCACATTCGCAAACGCGCGCGCACACATGGAATCACGTAGAACGGATATACGAGCCGGACGAGTCGGTCGATATCTCCCGCAGTAGCTCTCTCTCTCTCTCTCTCTCTCTCTCTCTCTCTCTCTCACTCTCTTGCATATAACTCCGTATCCCGATGGTGCTTTCGTGTGACGAACAATGGCGACGTTTTGTCGTAACGATGGACAAAGAGGAATTAAAATTTTCTTTCCTAGCTCGGCCGTCGACACTTTAACGAACCATTCGAGCAACGATCGTTTTTCCCAAGGGCTGCTTCATTCGTTTTCCATAAAAAAGAGAAAGAGAGAAGATAGAGATGCTTTTTTGCTTTTCTTTTCAAAACACGCTATCTGATATTTATTATTTTTTCTGTTTTTTAGGAAGAGAGAGAGAGAGAGGGGGGGGCGGGGAGAGAAGGATGGTTAGGGGAGGAAGGCTGACGCAAAGCTCGTGTAAACATTAATATCGCAAGAGTTTCCGTAGAAACATCCTTGTTTGATCGGCTTCTCTTCGTTTACACAGGAATGAAGTATGTACCTCGAAGGCATAAAGAGTATCACGATGCTTTCTTTTTTGCATTAAATTCTTATCTATCAAAGAAATAAATTTATAAACACTTCCGGATGTTAGGTCTTAGGGGTAAAAGCTCTGGTTATATTTGTCGGGCAAGATTGTAGAATGAGCTTCTTCGAATGGACACGTAAAGCTTGATTTCGTGACTACGCCCTTCCCTCGCAATTCTCGTCCTTTTCTGATCGTACCTACATCCATTCGGTAGCGCTTTAGGGGCGATTGGACATTATCGCGAGTCAGGGGCGTACTTAGGTACGCGCCTGCCTAAAACTGATTCGTTCCTTCCCCTCCCTCCTATCTCTCTCTCTCCTTCTCTCTCGTTGATATCTAGGGACTATTAGTGTAGAACTAAAAACAAGAGGTCTTCCCAACTTTTTCCTTTATAGTAATCATAAAATATGATTAAGGCGGAAAGGTAGCCAAAAAAAAAAAATTGGATTTAATATTTAATACTGCCTTTGATTATGATTCGAGCCCTACAACTATAAGTTATGATACAATTTCACGGAAGGCGGTAAGAGGAGCTTTGAGAAACTCGGAGAAAGGCCTAGGAGGTAGGAGTCATCGAAGGCGTTGCAAATTACGTTTCGGTCTCCCCTACTGAAACAGTCTGTCGAGTCTCTCGAGGGGAGGCCTTCCTTGCAACCCCTAATTTTCGTCGTAGCTGGGGTATCTCCGGATTCATGCGCGACAGAATAACCCCAATGGCTGCTCGTTCGTTCATTCGTTCATTCGTTCTTTCGTTAAATCGCGGACTCGTTTTCTAAGAGTCCGACGTTGCACCTAAAATATCGACTCTGCCTACTCTCTCTCTCTCTCTCTCTCTCTCTCTCTCTCTCTCTCTCTCTCTCTCTCTCTCTCTCTCCCTCTCCCTCTCCCTCTCTCTCTCCTCCTCTCTCTTCGTTTATTAATAATTCTCACCGTGAAATTTTTTTACATTCTATTGCTTTCTCTCATCATCCGACTTTCTTATTTTTGCTCGTAAATCAAGAAGACGACAACAACGAGGGGATCGTAGGGGATGTAAATTCGTAAGATATTTAGGGAATTAAGTAAAGCGGGAAATAGTGTCGTCGTTGCACGTGGTAGGATCGTTTCGAGCGAGAGAAAGAGAGAAAGCTTTTTCTCAGAGTAAAGATAGAAACTGTGTTCAACGCCAAGGCGAAGCCGGCACTTCGGGATGCACTTCGATAGAAATGCAAATGCGTCGTTCTCTCGAAGTAGCTGACTGCTACTCTACTACGAGTCGCTTTTCTTTGCCCTTTCCTTCGGTCGCCTTCCTTTCGGCTATTCATTGGCCAGGAAGATTACAATACGATTACAATGGCAACATCGAGAGAAGGGATATCCTCGATACGTGGGAAAGAAAATTTATTGAGAAAGAAAGCTCGAGGGGCTAAAAGAAAAGGACGACGATGCTTGAAAATGTGCAATTCGACATGTGACATGTATATGTGTTGGAAGATAGATTAAATTTTTAATAGATAAAGAGGATGCAGAAAGTTCGATAAAAAGTCGATCTAAAATGTTTAAATCGTTCAATTCGTTTACATTATTATTATTATACATATTTTACTATCATACATATTATTAGTATTAATAGGAATGTCCGTAAAGAAACACTTACAAGGGTTCGTTTTTTCAGTTAGTTTCAACCTTTCGCCGCTAGATGGTGATCGAATCGTGATAATCGGTCGATAGCTATGTACTTATAAATGGATATCTATCTCCAGGCGCGATACACTAGTCGAATTATTCGAGCATTTTTTTATAGAAAAATTTATAAATTTAACTACCGTTATGACTAGATCGAATACCAAATTTAATACCTAATAGAATTATCCTTCGAAAAGGAAATATTCTTCTTTTTTTTTTTCCCCCTGTAAACGTGCCAATGCTACAAGCTGTACGGATATCGTTTGGATAACTTGTAATTATCAACGATAAGAGAAAATAACCAGACAGTTGCGTTCACTTCATTATTTTTACATTTAAACTGCATTAACCGAAGAGAGAAGCGTATCGGTATCGAGTTGCTAACGGTATTCAAACGATTCGTGATCGTCCTGCATATCCACGTCGTAATATTACGTCGAAGTAACAACTATCGGAAGAATTCTGCAACCTCGAAAGCTCGCTTAACGTATATATCAATTCAGACAATCAATTTACCCAACGAATTGTCTTCTTCAAAAAAATTGAAGAAACAAATTTCAACGATAAAAGTTAAGAATAAGAAATTGTCGAAATATTCCAGCGAGAAAGAAGAAGGGCTTGAGAAGCGAATGGGTCCAAGGATCCAAGTACGGGAATGGGCCCGAGTCTTCATAAAGTGACGTCATTCGAAACCCACTAGGGTCAAAGATCTCTTCGAAGCTCGCGAACGCTTTCGAGCGTTCCACTGTGTACCTAATACACGATCGCCCTCTTATCTCTTTCTCTCTCTCTCTCTCTCTCTCTCTCTCTCTCTCTCTCTCTCGTTTCAAGATTTTTCACGCTACTCTTCGTATATAAACGCGTATAATGAGATTTATCGTTTCTCCTTTTAACCCGAGTTCGGAGTATAAGCATAAACGAGAGAGTAGAAATCGTTTCACGCCTCGTTTAGTAACAACTACCTATTACGGTCTCCTGGTTTGTTCCACATCGTCGAAAGAAACTCATCGATTAAGAAGGTTGCTCGCGTGAAAAGAAAGAGAGAGAGAGAGAGAGAGAGAGAGAGAGAGAAAAGAATGTTAAACCGAAATTGAATTTTACGAGGAAGGACGAGCGGTACACACTGTGAGTCAAGCGACACGATGCACATACAAAGATACTTACTGTATACGAGAGCTAGCTCGGAGAGATAAGTATACGCGATAATATGCTCGCGCCCGTATGGACGATCGTTTTCCTTTTCGGAAAGAAGCCGCGACGAACCGCAGCTGCGTTTCCCCTTGAATATTCGTGAACTTAACGGGAAGTTATCTTCGTTCCGAAAGCATTCCAAGTATACATAAGTAAGCGCGTATACCAAATCAAGCAAAAGGAGCAAATCGTTCGATCGAATGAGTCGCGCGAACGAAAAAAATGTCTATTATAATATTACATTTAACATTCATTCGCAATAAAATAATGGTCAATTAGAATAATAAACGATTATCACGCTTTTCGTGTCAAGAACCGATCGTCGACGTTGAATATCTCACAATATT